CTCCCCCCCCGCGAGTATCGCGGGTCCCCCTCTTGTTATATTTGAATGGCTAAAAATCATTATATAGAACATAAGTACTTGCTTTTCCCCTCTGGTTGCAACTTTTTTAAAAAAGTTATATAACATAATTGCACATTTAAAGCATCAGACCTGAGTTGAGTTCTTTTACCAGCGATGACATAGTATTGGTAATAGAATCTGCTGCTACCAGTAAGTCATTTCTTAAATTTCTTCTTGCACCTGAGAGAGAAGAGAAGCAAAAGACTCATCTGTTTTTGGCAAAGTATATTTGTTTGAGCTTTTTAATGTCACACAAGGTTGACAGCCTAGAACATAATGAAGACAGCCACACAGCAAATTAAAAAAACCCCAAAACATTTCTTTGCAAGAAGGGAGGCTTGTTTGGATATGTTTTCTGTTTTCCTGTACTGTACAGCAAGGGCTGCTTCATTTAATTAAATGCCACTAATCCAGAGTCAAAGACAATGGCTGGAAACCAAAGCACAGTACAACTAGTTCTATGTGCCTAAAGCTGCTTTGTGCTGGTGTTTTCTGAAGAATAGCTCCCCTCCCCCAGTGTGGCAAATTGCTTTTGAAACTGAAGAGACAATCCAAAACATGATGGCCAGTTATCAACGGGAAAAGCACGAACATCCCACTGGGCATGTCCAAGCACTGTAACAGCTGTTTGATACTTTTATTGCACACTGTTATTATTTTGTGACTGTAATCTAACTTGGATAATCTGTTGAAAGCAGAATAGCAGGGTATAACCCTGTGCAAAATTTGTGAATCCACCCAAGTTAGCTGATTTGAAATGAATTTTCCTCTTCCACTTCCAATGAATTGGACATAAAACAGAGAAATTCTGTGTTTCTCTACTACCTGGCTGAACTACAGATATTTCTCCCCCTTCTCTTGCAGTCTTATATACCTGGCTGCTCTGTACTGCACTGCCCCATGTCTTCCTAGATCACACAGTGAAACTAGAGCTTGTAATTAAAGAATCACTTTGCTATAGGGTCAAGTGAAGGCAGCTTTTGGCAGTCAAGCTGTTGGCATGAAAAATTATCACTTTACCACTCAGTATAAAGCACAACAGCACATTATGCAGAAGTAGAATAGTTGCTATGGTCAGAAAAATGCAATGCATCTTACTGCTTTTGACTAATAAAGGATGTTGTATCTTGTGCAGTGATGAGCAAGGTTGACTTGTATTCTCACTCCTCCCTTGGGTTGCAGCCCTGGGATGGGAGCAACCTGGAGATTTTGGGGGTGGAGCCTGGGGAGGGCAGAGCTTGAGGAGGGGAGGGAGCTCGGCAGGGCAGAAGAATGCCTCAGAGTCCACCCTTCAAAGCAGCCATTTTCTCCAGGGGAAATGATCCTGGTCATCTGGAGAGGCACGGCAACCCTACTTCCCTCCTCCATTATACAGCGATCCTATTAAATATTACTTGCCCTAAATGTAAGTTTTTAAAATAACTTTCTTAAATTACTAGCCCTTCTTCACATACAACAGGGTACACATATGGCCTGGGCAGAAATAATAATAGAGCGGCAGAGCACCACAACAGGGTGGTCCCGCACAGTGATCATGTTGCCAGTGCCATTGGGCTGAAATCGTCTTTGCAACCGAGGTTCCAGACGGCTCAGGACAATCTGTTTTCTGACTGTTATCAGTTTCCCTTTTACACCCAATGCACACTGAAGCTCCCCCCTTAGCCACTGTATTGTCATGTGATTGTCATGACTCTCAACTTATCCTTTAAAAAATTGTGGCACATGTGCAGTTTTGTACAGGAATACCACAATTCCACTGCTTTGTAAGAAATGGATTAACTTGAGGAGGGGACTTCCCCAGTGCTGGATTGTTGAGCCCAGGTAGAATCAATTCATTAAGGGGGGGGGGAGACAGAAAAAAGGCACCCCTGTATGCACTACTTGTCATCTCCTGCCCACAGGAATTCCCACATCCCCAATCAGACTTGCTTACTGTTTTGCCATAGGACATCTGTCTCTCCCTAGCCCTTCCAAGAACTGTTGCATCGGAGAGGAAAAGATCCCAATATTGCTATTCTGGAAGCCTGGCTTCTTGCAATACGCATACTGCTAATGTGAGAGAAATAGTGTAGTCATGCTGTTCTGGAGTAGTATTTTTTTTAAAAAAAGACATGGGCCCAGTGCTGGACTGCAGAGACCAAATAGAAGCAATTCATTACACAGGGGAGATACACTTTCCTATATGGGCTGGGGAGTTTCTAATTAGCAGAAACAAAGAATTGTCCTCACTTTGAAGGTCAGGCAGGGAGAGGGAACTTTTCCTGCACTGGATATTATCTTCTAATATCTTTGGGATGTGCTGCCCGCTCCGTAGTCATCCTACTCTCGACACTGCATTAGTACACAACAATGCCAATCAGTGTGTGTGTGTGTGGGGGGGGGGAATCCAAGAACAGGGTAGTTTACTGACACCTAATGCAAAGCAAGGAAGAGAGCAAAGGGGATGTTTCCTTACATTAAAGCAACAAGGCATGCTTTCCTTTGTAGATCTATGGAGATTCTTGTGGTGACAATGTCCTGCTGGGGAAACACTTGTTTTTGTAAGGTTTAAAATAAAGCAAAGTGTTACTTGAGATGAATGGGCTGTTTATGAGTTGTGCTTGAATGAAGGACGACACCATGTTGAAACAAGAAAAAAGCTACCAGTTGGGTGGCTGAAGCGGGGCAAATCCACTGTGTGAAAGCAGACCATGATGATTAACCAGCAGCCTATTTACTGAGTGTATCTGACCATCGCTTATTTGTAAAGGAGGAAAGTTCTACAGAGCTCACCTTGTGCAAAAGCTTCCTGCACATCTCCTCCCACGCCTGTCAGAGAGTCCTGAGGTGTGTGGGCTGGAGTGGAGCAAGCAGAGGCAGATCGGATGGGCATCGGAATAGGCCGACTGATAGTGTGGCTGGGAGAAGAGCGAGGGGAGCCTGCCCCTTGGGTCTGGAAAAAGAAGGGGACATGCGGATGAGTATGCCTGACAAGAGAAAGCACTCCCGTGCTGCCACCTTCATATCCACTGCAGCTGCACAATAGTCAGAAAACAGACCACGTCACACCAAAATAGTAGGATAATCCTGCATAATTCCTTTTGTTAGTTAAAGCTTTTTGATGCACATGCTAGCAAAAACAGAGGAGCTCAACAGCATAGGATGGCGGGGGGGGGGGAAGGGACAGGTGAAGTAACCAAACAGATGTTTTTTAAAAAATCAAGGCAGTACATTGATCAAGTAGTAGGTGACAAGAAAGACCTAGACTTGAGACCCTGGAGACCTATTGCCAGTCAGAGTAGATCAATAGTCTGGCTCAGTATAAGGAAGCTTGATGAATGAAATGTAAATATTCCTTACTGGCTAATAAAGAAAAATATTTTCAAAAACTGTCTTATTATTTCCTTTTTTTAAAGGGGGGGGGCTTGTTTTAAGATTGATGAAACAATTCCTCACCAAATTCTTCTCACTGCAAGAGACTTGCAATGCAATATTATTTATGCAGCTTTCCCTATGTTGGCTTCTGAATTCAATGGCATTTCTGAACGGCATCATTCCGGAAGTATCCCTGATTGGCCAACATAAGATCACCTTGAAATTTGGAGACACTTCAGAAGGACACTCAGTACTTGGATGGGAGACCACAGAGGAAGGAAATGGCAAACCATCTCTGCTCACCTCTGTGGATGGGGTTGCCATGAGCCAGCTGTGACTCAACACCTCCTCCTCCTCCTCCTTCTGAAGCCACCTCTGGATTAAACCAGACATTGTTGGGAATGCATGGCCACAGCCACACCACATTTCTTCTCTGTATCTTCTGGTAATATTTAGTTAAAGCAGACATATGGCATGGTTGCTGTGCTCAGTGCTTCTCTTCTTGGTTGACTGGGATGTGCAAAACCACTGCAGTCCCCTCTATACTATACTTTGTTGGTCAGTGGAATCTTTTAATTCTTCACTACCCACCCACTAAAGGTAGCTGTGGTGGCTCAAGTGGTTAAGACGCTGAACTGCAGGCTGTGAAAGGTCAGTAGAGTTCAGCAGTTCGAGACCCGGGTGCCGCATGACGGAGTGAGCTCCAGTCTCTGGTTCCAGCTCCTGCCAACCTAGCAGTTCGAAAGCAAGAAATTGCAGGTAGATAGATAGGTACCACTTCGGTGGGAAGGTAACAGCGTTCCATGCGCCTTGGTGTTTAGTCATGCCGGCCACATGACCACGGAAATGTCTTCAGACAGCGCTGGCTCTTCGGCTTTGAAATGGAGATGAGCACCGCAACCCTAGAGTCGGACTCGACTGGCTTTCGAGCAAGGGAACCTTTACCTTTTACCCACCCACTGGATTGTAGACTGCTATGTCCTCTATGACCTGTTTCCCCAGTGCATGCAAACATCTATGATTCCACAGCACTGGTATCTTTACCACATCTTCCTCACTGGTACTGAGGGCATCCCTCAGACTGTGAAGATGACTAAAAACAAGAAGCAGCCCACCCCAAGCTGGTGTCCTTCAGACCCATCCACATTGAAAGGGCTCGATCCATTCCCAGGACCCAAGGGTCTTTCTGCATCCCAGGATGCAAGTCCTCCAATGCAGGGAAGAAAAAGTTAAAAATAAGCCCCTGGCAGGAATGGAAACTTTCAGGATGTTAGGTGACGTTCTAGTTATTCTCTCATGCTTGCCCTAAGACCTCAGAGGGCAGGCAAGGAGAGACATAAACGCATCCCCTTTTGTCACTCTGGCTCCCATTTATTTCTGAAGAGGTCTGGAACATGCAGGGAAGTGGAGAGTCCTGGGTTCACTCTGGAAGTCCTGTAAGGATACTGATGGGAGAAAAATTCTGTGCTATACACAGTCCCTCCCCCTTTTATGGAGGCCTGAAACCTAGATAAACAAAAGCAGGGTTTGCTCATGCTTTTTGGGGTGTGTTTTTTTTGCAGGAAGCAAAGGAGCTGTTCGGGACTCTTAGTCCCAGAAGGATCCAGTTAGCTTTTCCAGGTCTGAACTGAGGGGTCTTGCTTTAGCAGGGCTGTCTACTGAAGCTCATAATGCCATTGCATTGCAAAGGTGTAGTCAATGGTAGTCTGTTGTAGAAAAATAAAACAGAAGTCCAGTGGTATCCTGAAGACAAACAAAATTTGCTGAGTCACATCTCACTTCCCCAAATACATGGAGGGAAAAAGATATAAATCACAAAAGCTCATATTGAAAGGAGTTGCTGGAGATTTATTTCATCAGGTTCTAAAACAGATACTTCCTTTTCTTTTGCAGAGTCAGCCATGTAGACATTTTTTATGACAAATACAACTTTACTTTCTCACTAACTGCATAACTATAAAATATGGCAGGAATATAGTTTAGATTTACTCTTCCAAGAACTCCACCAGTATAATACAAGCAAAATAAAATCTGGCTTTAGTTGGTCTTTGGTATGTAGCTCCCTCTGCTGGAATCTAGGGGTACTTCATCAGGGAAAATTACCTCACTGGTAATCACGGATTTGACTGGCTTTCGAACAAGGGAACCTTTACCTTTACCTTAATAAGCTTCTTTTGAAATGGGGGAAAAGATTATCATGTAAGCAGCACTGAGTGGGCACCTGCAGCCAATAGTAGAATCTTTGCCTTTTATAACAGTGTACATAACAGTGGACCTTTTTTTAACAAATCCTTTTGTTCCCATGAAAGCATATTTAACCCTTTTGTGACAGTGGCCATTTCCACCCAGATTATCTGCCCCAAATCTAATGCTTTTGGAAAGTGGGCTTTTCCTGCTTCCTCACAGCATCCTGGTGTATTCAGCCACCTCCAGGGATTCTCTGAATTCCCAGCTTTCATTAGTAAAAGGTAAGTCTGTAGCTCCTTTTCCCTTGCAGAGATATAAGGGAAAAGGCATACCTTTTTGTTTTTAAATGAAAGCTGGGAATTCGATGAACTCTCTACACTTATTGTTACAAAAGTATTTCAATATAGCAATATTCTAGTGCCAATTTTTTTCAAAAAAAGTCCTGGTGGCCCAGGGGAGAGGGGAGTGGCACAGCCACGTCTGGGGGACTGGGGCAGGGAAGCTGCTAGGAAACCTGCCTTTTGCTCCTGCAATTCATTTGCAGCCACACTAGCAGTGTGGAAACCACAAAATCTCATCCCTGTGTGGAAGCCACCACTATTTTCAAGAGGGTGCTTTTGGTGGGAAGAGGAAAGAAGTAATTATTTGGGAAGGTCCATTGAGGGGACAGAATATAAAGGGAGATGCACATCTGGAAGCATATCTGTCTGTTGACAGTGAAACAATGAAGACTGACAGCATGCATATTTGGATGCATATCCAAATCTGGCTGTCATCCATCTCTACTATATTATTTCTGCAGTTAGGCACACATAAATGTGTATGATCAGAACTGGAACCAATGGGCTAACAGTTTGCTGTGAAGCCTAGCAGAATCAGAAGCACTGCCCCAGCTGCTCAGGAGCAAGGACATGTTTTTTCTCCGCACTCAGAGTGAAGGCAATGAAGAAGAAGAAGAGATTGGATTTATACCCTGTCCTTCACTCGGAGTCTCAGAGTGGCTTACAAACTCCTTTCCCTTCGCCTCCCCTGTGAAGTAGGTGGGGCTGAGAGAGCTCTTTCAAGAAGTGCTCTTTCAAGAACAGCTCTGACAGAACTATGGCTTGCCCAAGGTCGTCCAGCAGCTGCAAGTGGAGGAGTGCGGAATCAAACTTGGTTCTCAGATTAGAGTCCACTACACCAAACTTCACTTGCCTTCAATAATGCTGTCAGGTTCTCAAATCTGATTGGCTATGTGGGGCAGTGATGTCATCCTACTCACTACATGAACTTTGCAGCACAGGAAGCAAAGAAGAAAGGAGTCCTCTAAATAGGACAAAAGCAACAATGTGTTGGTACCCTGAGTAGGCTTGAAATAAAGTGAAAGACCACTAACACAGTATTTTTCCAAGGGGCTTTTTGTGACACTCAAAGCCCATTTTTCACCATGAGAACATTCAAGTATGAAAATCCTGTGCAGCAGCAGGAGCATGTCATATACTTTAAATTAATCTGGATTCTATAAAAATCATTATTATTACTATTTCATTACTGCAAACAGTATCTTAAATCTATTTTTTGTAATTATGAAGAGGTTTGGTTTGTAACAAACTAATCTTAGGGCTTTCTTTTCTCTTTTACCACTTTCCCATAAAGCAAAAATCAAAGCACATGTACTGAAATTGTTTATGCTATTATGCTTCCTTTTTAGCCCATCAAGCATAACTCAGAATTTTTACTAAATTAAATCAAGTCCCAGCCAAGACTTAATAACGGCAAGACGCTAGAGCAACAATAGCTCAACAACATCATTCAGTTTTTCTAAAAAGAAAATTAATTCTGCTGTTTTAATTGTCTTGATGGTGTTTTTAACAGTGTTTTTCAAGCTACCTTGGGAGTCTTTTGGCTAGAAGTAGCAGTACAGAAGTAAATTAAATAACTAAATCTTGTTAGTCTGTGCTTGAATCTCTCTACTGCACCCTGATGTTTATATGGAGAAATTCCTCGCAGCATTTTCTGAGAAAATGGAAGAAGTAAGCAACAAGCCATATTCACCTACAGATTTCAGTGTGGATTATATATGTACAAATGAACAAATAAATGCAGCCCTACATTTGTTTGTCCATCTGCACGGGTCATGACTGAAACATCATGGTCAGCTCCTATTACAATCCTGCAGCAGTCGCACTGGCTACCAATTAGTCTCCAGATCCAATTTAAGGTGCTGGTGCTAACCTTTAACAGTCTGGGACCCTCATACCTACGGGACCACCTCGCCCGTTACAACCCACTACACTCCCTTCAGTTATCATGTAGGGGCCTCTTGCAGTTGCCTGGCCCCAGGATGGCTCGGTTAGCTGTCACCAGGGGAAGGGCCTTTTCAGCTGTGGCCCCTACCCTTTGGAATGCACTCTCGGATGACACCTATGCCCGGCTGGATTTGTTTAGTTCCTGCAGGGCATTCAAGGCCAAATTGTTTAGGTTGGCCTTCGGAGGGTACCCTCCAATGTTCGGGCTGTTTTTATTAGTGGTATGGTGCCAGCCACATATTTTAATAGTTTACTACTTTAATGTTAATATTTTATATTTGTATTTGTTTTTGTGTTGTTTTTATCTTATTGGCTTTAATGTTGTAAATCTCCACGAGAATCTTTGAGTGAGTGGGGACTGAAAAATCTAATATATAAATAAATAAACTAAACAAACTAATGGTACATTTAAATACTAAAATCCTGAAAAAGTTACTTTTGAAACATTCTGAATTATTAACTTGAATGCATTCCTTGAAAATTATCTTCTCACTTTGATCTAGACTATAGACTTGCAGAGTTATGATATAGCCTCATGGTTGATAATGCCTTTGCATAAAAATTGTAAATTGATGTGATAATACTTTATCTGTTGTTGTATGAGCAATGTTTATTGGGTCTATCCTTTTTTCTAATAAAAAATATGAAAATTATCTTCAAAGCTCCCCTCTCATAATTGCTTGAGAACAACAGATATTTTAAAAACAATGCACAGGATATTTCAAGGCTGTTATTCAGGAGATGTTTCAGCTCATCTAGTTGCATTTCACCTTACCTGTATTATCGCTGCACTTTCAAATTAGTCAGAAGCTGCTCACGTCCCTATACCATTATAGCTTGTACTGAACAGCGTTAAAGAGTTACAGCTCTTCAAGGCAAAGGTGACTGTATATCAGTAGTGAGCCAAAGAGATCTCTTACATTTATTACTAACCTCTCAAGGGAACTATAAATCTTAATTAGCTGACTGTGTAAAGTACTTTAACTCCTGTGATAAAAGGTTAAAGGCGTGCAAGGTAGTGTTATTTATCGGTCCTGGGAATGAACAGGCATTTCAAGCAGATGTAGCGCAGCACCCATTTGGACCACAGCAGCACTCCTTAAGAGTTAGTGACATCTACAGGGCAAATAACTTACTCCCTGCTTCAGTTCTTCTTCCTAAAGAAAGATTGGACCATTAAGAGTCAGATTAATCTGAGTTTAAAGTAAAAGATAAGTGAGACTACAGAGCAGGTAAAAAACCTGTTGCTACCCACAGTGTATAAAAAAGTCTTCCTTTGATTTCAGGGCAGTACACTTCTGAACAGCAGTAGAGGAGGGACAATCAATGTAGAAGGCAGTTGCTTTTATATCCTGCTTCTTGAGTTCTAGAGCCATTCTGGCTGGTCACTTTTGCAAACAAATTGGTAGAACAGATAATCTGATCCAGTAGACTTCTTATGTTTTTACCATATATGTGAAACCACCAATGTGACTGTATAGCACCATACCATGTTACATGGCATACCCAAATTCAGGACTCTGAACCAAATTTCCCAGTTCCTGATGATGTTGGCTCTAAACAGAGCCTGAATACCAGTTCCAAAAGCAGCAAAGATAGTTTACAAGCAGTTCTGTGATTCTACAATAAACCAAACAAGACACCTTGGGAAATAGAAATAGGTATCATCAGAGGAAAAAAGAACAGTGGGCAAAATTTATCACCTGTTAAAAGGAGATGCTTCCCTACTAAAATCAGCGACAATATGCTAGAACTGCATATTATGCATTGGCAAAGCTCCAAATAACTGAAGTTATATTTTTCAACTTTATTACTTGGTTGTCAAGAATGTGAATATTTATACATTTGTCGCTTTTCAGATCACTCATGTTGATGAAGTTAATGTGCAAGGGATGTATAAAATACAGCATACAGCAATGTAGCTCCTTAATGTCCTGAAAGCAACAAGAAAATACCTTATTATGTGGAGAAAAGCCTGTTTGTATCCCATCTCCATTACTGATGTTTTAATGAGAAGAATGGATAGTCATGTTACAAGCAGGTGCAAACTGGCCACTATAGCCACAGAGAAATTTCTGGTTGGGTCAATGGCCTGCCCCCCCCTACTTGGGCTGGTCCAGTCCAGGGTAGAAGTGCCATGCATGGCCTGAGGAAGGGGGTGCCTGTTCTGGGTAAGCCAGTGCCTGTCTTGGGTGAGTTGGTATGTGTTTCGGGGATGGTGGTACATGGATGTGCCCAGCCCAGCAGAGCCAGGCAGAGAAAGCAGAGCTGTGGGAGATGCCCAATCAAACCACGTGAGTTGCTGGGCTGGCTGAGTCTCTCTCCTTCCCTCCTTTGGGGGAATGAGGCCTGTGTGGTCCTTGGGATGGGTACAAAAGTTGTAAATGCAACACAACACAAGAGTTTGTAACAATTACAGCACAAACATAAGTGAGGAACTATTTCTCATCACAAATATCTATTGGAGGAACTGCCCAGGCTGGGTATCCAACAACAACATTCCCTTTCTCCCTTTCTTTCCTTTATTTAATATGTTTCCTTTATTTAGTATAAAATTGGAGTACCTTACCTTAAGCAATTTCATGAGGCCTTCTAACTGAACCATGAGCTCTCTCCGGCTTTCCTGTAGAGCAGACATCCTCTGTTCCAGTTCATCCTTCCTTTGTCTAAGAAATACATGTTTAAGATTAGACATTGCAGTGCAGCTACATATAGTGAAAAGCCTCAACGTACTCAGAAGACAATCTACATACATATTTCATGGGATTTCCTACATTGGAGCATTTTACATGGAGGAATATTGCTCCAGTTCAGTTTGCTGGACAGTGTATCAGTTGACCGTTATAAATATTTATTGAAAACATTTTATACCACACTTCTGAGAGGTTTAGAGAGACTAGAAACAATAGTTTAAAACAAAAGCATAGTAAAACTATACATATACGTTATGATTAGAGCAAAGCTAAATTACAACATTTAACAATAACAGAAATACAAATCTAGAAACATCAATAATTAAAATACCAAGAGTCCAAACATTCAAGTCAACTGATTCTCAGGAGAAGGCCTTCTGAAATAAACACATATGCTTTCCTGAGGGCTGAAAGGAACTGGATTGATATACAGAGTCAGGCAGACTATTTCACAAAGAGAGAGCAGCCAGTGATAAAATCCAATTTCTGACTAAAGGCAGCTGGATTACCTAATATGAGGTAGCAGAAGAGACTAGTGACCACATCTAAGCAGGCACACAGGTTTTTTTTCCAGACAAAGCAGTGAAGTGATGTACACTCCAGATCCTGAAGGGTTTTAAAAGTAACAAATATTACCTTGAATTGAACACAGGAGTGAATTGGTAGTCTGTGCAATGGTTTCAATATGATATATCTAATTCCAAATCAGGCCACAGAATATGGATTAATAGACCTACAAAATGGAGCTAGGAACAGATAGGTGGGGGATTTCTATACAAACCTGAAGGAAGTTTCAAGTTTGTAGAAAAATATGATATATAGATATAGATAGATATAGGGCAGTGGTGGCGAACCTATGGCATGTGTGCCAGAGGCCTCTCTGTGGGCACGCGTGCCATTGCCCCAGCCGGGCCCAGACCGTCATTAAAGTGTGGAATTCTCTGCCAAATAATTTTAAGTAAATGAAAGCATTTGGGATTGCTTTCCTTACTTTGTTTAGATCATCTTATGTTAATTTATGAGTTGTTTTTTCTAAACTAAAACCTCAGTATTCAGGTTAAATTGCCGTGTTGGCACTTTGCGATAAATAAGTGGGTTTTGGGTTGCAGTTTGGGCACTCGGTCTCTAAAAGGTTCACCATCACTGATATAGGGGGATTAAGCACCACATATGATAGAAACAACACCCATAGCTTTAAGAAAAGAATACCCACTGAGCAGTCCTGGCAGTCCTAACTGAGAGTCCTCAGGGGAAGAGCCTGAGAGCCAAGGCCACCGGATGAAGAGGACTTGTAGGACCAGGAAGAGCCTGACATGGCAGAGGTGCCAGTGGACAATGTGCCAGAGACCAACACATTGGAACCTGTACGTGAAATCACACCACTGGCCCCTAAGATAGCCACCATGCCTCCACAGCATAGGGCTCAAACCTGGACCTGTAGCCCCCCAGGACCTGTCCCCTCTCTGCAGGAATGGCAGTAA